GTTTGCAGCTGAATTGGCCAAACTGAATTTGCTCTCGGCATAAAAAGCACGGCCAGCAGTACACGGCCGTGTAATGCCTTAGGCTGCCCGTGTTTTGGCTCCAGCTCACCGAAATGACTTCCGAATGCCCCGAAACTCGCGCTTAGCCTTCCTTTTGACACCTGGGACCTGAAACATGACAAAATAGCACAACCCGGCGTAAAATAGGCAACAACACACGACTATGCCCCTCAAACGGATAAGAACTAGGGGCGCAAACATGTGCAATTACATCGTTATCAGATACTCTATCAACCTAGGCAGATATTCTCATTCTAGGTTAAAGCAGAAACAACAGGAATTTGATCAGGATTCAAGTCATTCAATCATTCAAACCTCAATCGAATATAATCAATCATAGAATCAGTACTTGGGTTCATACAATCAAAGCCTAACATACAAATCTAGGGTTCTCCATACCTAGATGAATGGGAGAACTACTCCATGGAGAAAGAAGCAAAAGCAGAATCAGACGCGGAATTCATACTGTAAAGGATGGATTCCTGCTCCTGGACGTTGATCGGCACTTCTCCAAGCTCAAACTGGCCTCCAATGGTGTTGAAGATCAATCTAGGGCGCTTGGAGACTCTTGTTCGTCGCTTTTTCTCTCTAGAAACTGATCTCTCTCTCTAAAACTCGAATCCCCTTGACTTGTGGCTGAAAATCTGCTTAAAAGCATCAGTGGCCAAAGCACGGTCGAGGACACGGCCTTGCTTTGGCTGACTCCGCCCGTGTCTCGGCCAAGGCTTAATTACACGGCCAGCAATTGGGATAAACACGGCCGTGCTTCGCGTTGGACACGGCCGTGTAATGCTTGAACACGGCCGTGCTTTGTCTCGGCCTTGCCCGTGTAATCAACTCAGCTCTCGGCATAAAAAGCACGGCCATAGGAACACGGCCGTGTAATGCCTTAGGTGTGCCCGTGTTTTGGCCCGAGCTTGACGAAATGACCTCCGAATGCCCTTAAACTCGTGGTTAGCCTTCCCTTTGACGCCTGGGACCTGAAATATGACAAAATAGCACAACCCGGCGTAAAATAGGCCAAAACACACGACTATACTCCTCAAACGGATAAGAACTAGGGGCGCAAACATGTGCAATTACATCGTTATCAAATTCTCCCACACTTAACCGTTTGCTTGTCCTCAAGCAAACCAAGTCAGACACAAGGTAAGCTCAAAACAACAAGGCATGACATATCGGCACAAAACACGTGGATCATACTGGCTTTCGATCATTAACACATGGACAACCCACTGACAACCTAGACAACCACCACAGATGACATTCGAATGCAGTAAAATCGAGCAAAGGAAGAGTCTCCCTTCTGTTCACCAACCAACATAGACTTGACTCAACCACTTGTTCGAAACAGTCACATCATGCACAAAGTTCAAGATATCAGAATTAAGACCGAGCAATCTAGGTCCTCACCGGGATAAAGAGTATACAGAATAAGAGAAAATGAATCGCTCACTCTCGACCAGTGGGGTCAGGACAATATGATGCGAAAAATGCGCATGCTCAATCTCTCAATCCCTAACATCTCTTCACCATGAATGCAGCCTCTAAGTGCTAGAGTTCACACATGGGGTGTCATCACTAACTAATCCGGAGGTCTTAGACACAGGTTCAGATGACTGGCTAGGGTCTTGGACATGGGGAAAAGGCCTTTTAGGTGATGGAAGTATTCATACAGCACAAGGTTCCACATTTCCAAACCCAACAGATTCACAATCAATCAAACCAATAACTTTCTTTCTGCTATTCTGCATTACTCAAGTTCAGAACACAAGAGTGAAGGAGGTTACATGAATGCTAGTATTTCTAAGCCAGACTGTTAAGAAACACTACTACATGGGCATTATTCAGATTTTTTGTGGTGGCTCTCTTTTGCTTTCATTTTTTTTTTGTCTTTGATTTTCTTTCATTATTTTTCATTTCCTAAGAGAACCACCACCTCTGCAAATTTTCAAACACCTGCCCAACTTTTAAGCACTACCTCCAACCCTCACATTACATTTAGCAGAAACAGTAGAGAATATGTAAAAATCACTCTGTGGAACCTTCTAAAAGATGCAAAAGGGTGACTTTTCATTGAAGACCGAAAGAAAGGGAAACACACGGCTCAAAGGGGCTGACTAGGGGTATGACACACTAGGACAGTCAATTTGGTCGTGGGCTAATCCTATGCCTCCATCATCTTAGCTAATGACAACGTGAATGCTGCACATCATGGAAGAGGAAACTATCGCACAAGAAAGAAACGAGCAGGCTCAAATCTCACATGGCTACCTATATGCTCTATCTCTTGTTCTGATTCCCTGAACTAGATGCATAACTGACTGTCAAAAGCAAGTGATCAAACCAAGTCACATTTGGTGAGCAAACAGTTGAGAAAACTGAACCCTACACAATTCTACTGCACATCTCAGTCATCACAATAAGTTGTCTAAGTCCCACTCAAGTTGTCATGTATCAAGTCAAAAGCCATTCAATTCACTAATCATATCCACAGTGCCAATACGATCAATCATCAAGCAAACAGCCGTGCTTGGAGCCCTCAAATCTCAAGATTTGTACAGTGGACTAGGCTCCAAGCACACATATATACGTTCCAATTCATACAAAGAACCCCCCCACACTGAAACGCGACAATGTCCTCAATGGAGCAGAGGGAAGGGGAACGATGTTACCGTGAAACAGTGGTCAGGAACGCTGACTGGATGGCGGACCAGTCAAAAGAAGGGGCACAGAGCTAGAGACAACAAAAACACACACTAGGTGATAGGAGTCAGAGTACCAAGTCTACAATCCGAGATAAAACAAAACAAAACGAAACCACAAAACACAGAGTCTCAGTCTGGAAAACAGATAAAGCACAAAACCCGCTCTAGAAGGCATCACCACCATTGCCGGTGGGTGGAGGGTACTCATCCTCAAACCTCGGGGACTGCACGAACGGGTAGTGGACCGCGCTCGGGTCCAAGCCCAAGTAGGACATGATGTAGTGCTGCCCGGACAGGATACGACGCCTGCGGTCCCGCTCACGATCAAGGCGGGTGTGGAGGAGCTCCTGGCCGGCCAGGAGGAGCTCATTCTGCTGCGAGATCGCCGCCAACTGGTCGGAGATGGGCACCACCACTGGAGGAGGTGACCCTAGAGAAGGAGACCAGGGAGCAGGAGAGGGGCTCGCGGGAGCCTGGCCACGACGGGGAACGCGACGCCGACCTCGGCGCCCACCAGCGGCGCTCGACTCGGCCTGGTCACCCTCTGCAGGAGGAGGTGGCTGAGGAAGGCCCTCGATCCATCGCTGACGCCCGTGGCGAGCAAGCAAGTGCTGGTGGCGAAGAGTAGCCTCGCTGAATGGGGACGGCCCGCGCACCACAGTCATCCCCGTGTAATCCACCCCGTACTTGCGGGCCAGGGCGGTGATCACCGGCCCACAAACGATGGCGCGAGTCGTGCTGATGGTTGGTTTCGTGAATGTCCTCGCCAGTACAGAGCCCAGCTGGATGGTGTCCTCAGAACGACCCATCGCATGCATCAACCAGAGTGTGCGGAGCGTGACCCGGTTGGCCGAGCCTGCGCTGGGTGTGTAGGAAGTGCACATCAGGTGGTTGAGGATCCGCCACTCTGGACGGAGGAGAGAAGCCCGCGTCTGGCTGGCCACGTACTGTTCATCCACACTTTCGGGCAGGCAGATGCTCTGAAAGTACGCCTGAGAAGGGAAGTCCGTGGGATCAGCGAGATCAAGGCGGAGAGGCAGCCCACCAGCTTCCCGGGAGTTGAGGCGAAGTGCATTGGCGAACTCCCAGTAGCTGAGGGAGTGCTCCACCCCACCAAGAGTGAACTGGACTGCATTAGCGTGATCGGAGTTCCCCTTCTGATTGTGGGTGAAGGTGGCGTAGAACTCCAAGACCAGCTCCTTGTAAGTCGGCTCGGCGAGGGTGAGAAGACGCCGCCAAGCAGGGGAGCGGACCGCAGCCTCCATCTGTGGCCTGGCATGAAGCTCCTCGAACACCTCCCAATCGAGGTGATGGTGCTCGGCGATGCTGCGGGTGCGGAGGTTCCGCAGCTTATGGCGCTGGATAATGTTCAGCTGGTCGAGATAATCCTCCATGATCCTGCAAAACACAATGAAGGACAAAGTGTACACAAGCAAACGGGGTCAATGTTAGGCCCAAAACCACGCCGGGAGTCCTCATATCGGAAGATATGGACAGTGGACTAGACTCCCGGCGACACAAACATACCCATCATACGAGAAATACCAGCTGAAAACACCGGGGACCCTCAAATCAAGCGATTTGGACAGTGGACTAGGCCCTCGGTTAAACAAGCGTACCACAACTGCTCTAAATAGCACCAATCGAGGCATCCCAGAAAAATCACAATTCACACAGGCCATTCAACATGCAAGCAGCCCAATCATCCCCCAAACCCACAATAATCCCCAAACCATACATTCCACAAGCAAAAGTTCTTCACCTAACTCTAGGTATCGATTCTCCAAAAATATAAGAAAAGACAAGGAGAACACACCTGGAGACTCAAGAAGATACCACGAGAGAGAGGAAGAAAGTGGAGAGAAGCACCCAAAGTCGCCGGAAAACACACCGGAGACTCGCCGGAAAACTCACCGCCGGCGACCCAACCTCAGCCAAACCAGCCCAAATCGTTGGGGAATGTGCTCCTCGACGCCAGGAGCGTGGGGGCGCTCGCGGTTTGTGATTTGGAGGTCGGGAGAGGGAGTTATGGCCGGAAAATCGAGGGAGAAGGTGAAAGGGGCGATTTTCCGGCGAGGGAGTTTTGGGGTAAAAAAATCGCTTTTATAGGGGGAGGGGGAGGCCGAAACACGGGCGGGCCATTACACGGCCGTGTTTCGGGTGCTCCGCGCCCGTGTTTTAGCCCAGCGAAGCACGGCCGGGCTCTGATTAAAACATGGCCGTGTTTTCAGAGCCCAGTGCCCGTGTTTTTTATGCCGAGAGCAAAAGACATTACACGGGCAGGTACAGGGCGAAACACGGCCGTGTTTTAACCCCCTACTGCCCGTGTTTTTAGTGCCGAGCCTGAAATGCAATTTTTTTAATTTTCAATCGCAAACCACCATGATTCATTCGTGCCCCGGCTCTAAAATTTAACCAATCACACATCAAAACGAACCGCCCGAGGCACGAAAAACTTTCCAGACTGACTCCAAACTGACTCAACGACTCAAAAACCGACAAAGTTGAAATAAATAAATAAAAACCAAGGTAGAAATGCAAACCGTGGTGGGGTTGCCTCCCCACAAGCGCTTCTTTACCGTCTTTTAGCTGGACGCCAATTGCGGAACTAAGGGTCCGCGAGCTCCACTGCTAACTCCGCACATTCGACCTCGTCTCCCAGGTAGAGCTTGAGACGATGGCCATTCACTTTAAACGGCTCAGTTTGCGGGTTAGCAATCTCAATTGTGCCATACGGGAACACCTGCGTGACCGTATACGGTCCAGACCACCGGGAACGGAGTTTTCCAGGAAAGAGTTTCAGGCGAGAGTTATAAAGGAGAACTCGATCACCAACCTGGAACTCTTTCGGACCCCGCAACCGTGCATCGTGTAGGCACTTCGTGCGCTCCTTGTACAGCTTGGTGTTCTCATAGGCGTGATAACGCCACTCTTCCAGCTCCAACATCTGTATTTTTCGCTCAACACCTGCAACACTAACATCCAAGTTTAGCAGCTTAAGGGCCCAGAAGGCCTTGTGCTCTAGCTCCACGGGCAAATGGCATGCCTTTCCATAGACAAGCCGGTACGGTGAGGTACCAATGGGCGTCTTGTAGGCAGTGCGATATGCCCACAGAGCATCATCGAGCTTGGTGGACCAATCCTTGCGGGATAGGTTCACCGTCTTCTCCAAGATCCGCTTGAGCTCCCGGTTCGTCAGCTCGGCCTGGCCACTGGTTTGAGGATGATAGGCCATGGACACCTTATGAGTTACACCATAGCGAGACAACAATTTATCGAACTGACCCTGGAAATGGGTGCCTCGGTCGCTTATGATGGCTCTAGGTGTCCCGAACCGGGAGAATAGCTGCTTCAAAAAAACACAAACACGTATAGCATCATTAGTGGGCAAAGCTTGCGCCTCGGCCCACCTAGAGACGTAGTCAACAGCAACAAGGATATATGTATTACCAAAGGATGGAGGGAAGGGGCCCATGAAGTCGATACCCCAGACATAAAAAATCTCACAAGTAATAAACACATTCTGGGGCATCTCATCACGGGCAGAGATGTTACCTGACCTCTGGCATCGGTCGCACCTGCGTGCGAAGGCGTCTGCGTCCTTGAAGAGCGTGGGCCAGTAGAAGCCCGACTGGAGCACCTTCCTCGCCGTGCGGTTTCCTCCGTGGTGACCGCCAGCAGGTCCTTCATGACAGTGAGATAGAATGCCCTTCATCTCACTCTCCATAACACATCGACGGATGATCCCGTCGGCTCCGATCCTGAAGAGATGAGGGTCATCCCAGAAATAGTACTTCAGGTCGGAGAAAAACTTCCTCTTGGCGTGAGTTGTCATCCCCTTGGGCAGCTGCTGGCCCACAAGATAATTTGCAAAATCAGAATACCAGGGGGTGACACTCTCCACCAGGCACATCATCATAAGTCTCTCATCTGGAAAAGAGTCATTGATCTCCTCCTCGAGGTTGTCCGCAGGGGGTGCGTCCAACCGGGAGAGGTGATCGGCAGCAACATTCTCTGCTCCCTTCTTGTCCCGAATCTCAATATCAAACTCCTGCAGCAGTAAGATCCATCGTATGAGCCTAGGCTTGGCATCAGCCTTGCTCATCAAGTATCGAATCACGGAGTGATCAGTATACACAATCACATGGGACAAGACCAGATAGGGGCGAAATTTGTCGAAGGCAAACACCACCGCGAGCATCTCTTTCTCCGTGGTAGTTTAGTTCTCCTAGGCATCATTCAAGGTCTTCGAGGCGTAGTAGATGGGTCGGAAATGCTGATCACGCCTCTGCCCCAACACAGCTCCAACAGCAAAGTCACTGGCATCGCACATAATCTCAAATGGTAAGGACCAGTCAGGAACAACCATGATAGGAGCCTGTGTGAGCTTCTCCTTCAAGGTCGTGAAAGCCGCTGTGCATGCATCAGTGAACTGGAAGGGGGCATCCTTCTCTAGAAGCTTCGTCAGGGGCAGAGCAATCTTAGACAAATACTTGATGAACCGCCTGTAGAAACCTGCATGAGCAAGAAAACTCCGGATCCCCTTAACAGATGCAGGAGGAGGCAGTTTGCTGATAGTCTCGATCTTCGCTCTGTCCACCTCAATCCCCATCTTGGAGATCTTATGCCCAAGAACTATGCCTTCTCGAACCATGAAGTGACACTTCTCCCAACTCAGTGCCAGGTTCGTTTCTTCACACCGTCTAAGGACAAGCTCCAGGTTATGGAGACAGTGAGAGAATGAGTCTCCATAAACCGAGAAATCGTCCATAAACACCTCCATAATCTCGCCGACCAGACGGTCAAAGATAGCGAGCATGCATCGCTGAAAAGTCGCCAGGGCATTGCATAGCCCGAATGGGATCCTCCGGTATGCAAAGGTGTCGAAGGGGCAGGTGAAAGTGGTCTTCGCCTGGTCCTCCGGTGCAATCGGGATCTGGAAGTACCCGGACATCCCATCCAGGAAACAGTAGAACTCGTGCCCCACCAGTCTCTCCAGCATCTGATCAATGAATGGTAGCGGGAAGTGGTCCTTCCGAGTGGCGTCGTTGAGACGCCGGTAATCAATGCAGACACGGTACCCAGTCACCGTGCGTATCGGGATCAGCTCATTCTTCTCGTTAGGTACCACAGTCATCCCACCCTTTTTGGGTACCACCTGGGTGGGACTGACCCATTTGCTGTCGGAAATGGCGAAGATGATCCCCGCGTCCAACAGCTTCATGATCTCTGCCCGAACCACAGCCTCCAGGTTTGGTGTCAGTCTCCTCTGCGGCTGTCTCACTGGCCGCATCTCATCCTCCATCAGTATCCGGTGGGAGCAGAAAGAAGGGCTGATCCCCCGGATGTCTGTGATCTTCCATGCGAGGGCTCGCTCATACCGCTTCAGCAAGGCCACCAGTCTGGTCTTCTGCTCGGATGTGAGGGTCGAGCTGATGATGACTGGCAGCTTATTCCCCTCCCGGAGAAATGCATACTCCAAATAAGGAGGGAGGGGCTTAAGCTCCAGCTCTGGTGGTTCCTCCAAGGAAGTAGCGATGCGGGTGGAGGATGAGATCGGTTTAAACAGCCTGTCGCCCTCCAAGAAGGGGCCACTCTCCAACTCGGCCAACTGCTCCGCCAGCTGTGGCTCCTGCGATGGCTGCTCACCTAGCAAAATACAACGCTCAAGAACATCGTCAGTACCCGCACTCGTGATGGCGAGTGTGGTCTCATAATCAGCAAGCATATCACAGTAATCTATGTCATCATGCAAATGAGGGTGTTTCCCATTCTCAGACACAGAAAAAGTAGCCTGTTCATCACCAGCACGCAAAATCAATTTACCACTATGCACATCAATAAGCGCCTTGGCGGTGGCGAGAAACGGTCTACCTAAAATCAAAGGTACATCCACATCCTCATTTATATCCAAAATAACAAAGTCAACAGGATATGTGAATGCACCCACATTAACAAGCAAGTCCTCAATGATACCCCTAGGATGCACGATAGAACGATCAGCTAACTGAATGCTCATCCTAGTAGTTCTAGGTTCACCTAGGCCTAGCTTCTTAAACAGATTATAAGGCATGACATTTATGCTAGCGCCTAGGTCCGCCAAGGACTTTCCTACATGCATGCTGCCAATAACAAGAGGGATAGTGAAACTCCCTGGGTCTTTTCGCTTCTCGGGCAGCTTGTTCTGCAGGATGGCAGAACACTCCTCGCTCAGCATCACTGTCGAAAGATCCCCAAGTTTCTTCTTGTTGGTGAGGAGGTCCTTCATGAATTTGGCATACTTGGGCATCTTTGACAGTGCCTCCACGAACGGCATGCTGATGTTGACCTGCTTCAACATTGCCATGAACTTGCAAACTCAGTCTCCAGCCTGTCTTTATGCAGGCGAGTGGGGAAAGGAAGCTGAGGTACATGCTCCTTAACCACTGGCTGTGGCTTGGGAGCAGGCGTTGTTGTGTCTTCCCCCCACGTCGGCAGTATCATCTGGAAGTGTTGAAGCAGGTCGCGGATCATCTCGACTGGGCTGGGCAGGAGCAGCTGATGTGGTCTTGCCACTCCTGGTAGTGATGGCATCAAGCTGCTGGAGCTGGTGAGGATCCCGAGGATTCGGTACAGTGGTGGCAGGCAAAGTCCCCGGTGCCTTGGTGGTGTTCTGGCGGGCCAAGATGCCCACCTGGGTCTGCAGATCCTGCAAAATGGCACCCTGGTTCCTCTGACCTACCTCCAGTGAGGCTACACTCTGGTCCAACTTCGTGATAGTCGCCTGAGTGCTCGTCATGAATGAAGCCAGAATATTTTCCAGCTTCGTCATCTGAGTATCTGGAGCTGGAGCTGCTGCTGGCTCGGCAAACTGGCACTGGGGCTGCTGGAAGGGTTGCCCTTGCCTAGGCTGGTAGGGCTGCTGCTGTGGAACTGGCCCTTGTCGAGGCTGGTAGGGCTGCTGCTGTGGAACTGGCCCCTGTCGAGCCTGGTAGGGCTGCCTCTGCTGAAAGCCACCTGCTGGTGCTGGGAAACCAGGTGGCTTAGTGGTGTTGCTGCCCCAAGAGAAGTTGGGATGCTAGCGCCACCCCTCATTATATGTGGTGCTGTACGGGTCGAGGCGCCGAGCATTGGCGATGAAGTCCAACTGCTCCTGGGGGGTAGTAGACTCCCTCATAGCCTGGCAGTCTTCTACAAAGTGGCTCGAGCTCTCACACCACTGACACTGAGCAACTGGAGGTGTAGCCATACCTCTGCCCGGAATAAGACTGTTGGGCTGCTTCAATGTCTGCACTAGCTCAGCTACCTGCTGCTCGAGTCCGGATCTGGACTCCATGGCGTGCACACCACGGTCCCGGGACTGTCTGCCCCTGCTACTCTGCCCCCAGGAATGATCTCTGGCAGCCAATGTATTAATCATCTGGTTCAGCTCTGGTGGAGTCTTAGTGAGAACATCCCCTCCTGGGCATAGAGACTCAATCACCCTCTGGCTATCTGGAGAGAGGGCACTGTAAAAGTTCCCCACTGTGAATGCATCACTAAAGCCATGGTGGGGACACTGCCAGAAGTATCCCATGTACCGCTCCCAAGCATCACGAAGTGACTCATCTGGCTCTTGGCGGAAGTGAGTGATCTCCCGCTGAATCTCTGTAGTCTTCGATGACGGATAGTACCTGTGCACGAACTTGTCAGCCAGATCGTCCCAAGAGGTGATGGACAATGGGGGCTGGGTCTCCAACCACCTCTTAGCATTCCCCACCAGAGAATGGGGGAAGAGGTGAAGGCGGATTGCATCATCCGGGACACCATTCAGCTTGAACCCGTTAGTCAGCTGGAGAAAACGGGAGAGATGTACCCTGGCCTCCTCATCCTTCAAGCCATGGAACTGGATGGAAGATGTAATGAGCTGAATCCAGCATGGCTTGATCTCGAAGTTGTTTGCTGGGATAGGCGGGTAGAGGATGACCGGGCGGATGTCAGCAATCCGTGGAGTGTAGTAGTACTCCAAGGTGGGACCCGGCTGCGGTGGATGATGAACTCCATGATCCTGGGGTATGGGGTTGTTCCCCAGAACCTGATTCACCGGGGGAGCCTCCTGAGGATTCCCCTGGTGTTGATTGTAGTCTTCCATCTCGTACTCCTCCTCAGAATCACTGCTCACGTGGCCGTCTATGCGCTCTTCCGTAGCCAGTCTAGCTCGCTGTTGTCTCCTGAGCTGGCGACATGTGCGGTCAATCTCTGGATTCAACGGCAATAAACCTCCTGACTGGCTACGGGTCATGCACTACCTGCACACACTAGCAAACCCGTGAAGGCACAAGTGGGACAAAGCAAACAAAGCAAAAAGAAAAGCTAAATTAACAGAAATCACTTTTCTTCAACAACCTAGCCATCCCCGGCAACGGCGCCAAAAACTTGACTCGACTCTACTGTCACCCTAGGAATTGGCCAAGTGAAACCACTTCCTAAAGCGTAGTATAGCGGGTTTAGGTTTAATTATCAACCCGGGTCCTAGATCTGATGACTACTCAGTGAATTCTTGTTATCTAGCAATGAAACTGGAATGCAAGTCTAAACTATCAAACAAACAAAGCAAACAAACGGTTGTATTCAAGTTAAGAGAGGTCACCCGGATATGGTTCCCCCTAGACTGCAGTTAAGCCGGATTGTAATTACCAAGTTCAGTTTCTATGATAGTTATACTGCGGAAGGTTCTTAAACAGCCTGAAGTCTCGACTAAAGGTCTTCAGACCCTCTCAATCTGAATCTCTAGCGGGCGACTAACCTCCACCGGAGTAAACAGATTGAGGCCCTAAGAACAAAACCTCCACTACCGGAGTAAATCCAGTACAGAATAGTGAGTTGGTTCCTCGACTAAAGTCACCAACTCCCTATCTTCAATCAAGGATACTCTATCAACCTAGGCAGATATTCTCATTCTAGGTTAAAGCAGAAACAACAGGAATTTGATCAGGATTCAAGTCATTCAATCATTCAAACCTCAATCGAATATAATCAATCATAGAATCAGTACTTGGGTTCATACAATCAAAGCCTAACATACAAATCTAGGGTTCTCCATACCCAGATGAATGGGAGAACTACTCCATGGAGAAAGAAGCAAAAGCAGAATCAGACGCGGAA